ATATTTTTGGCTAATGCCAACTTCTGGGTACTCAAAATAGGTAATTAATTTATTAAACAATTCCATTTGGAAACAATATAATAAATTGTATAGCATAAAATTGTAACTCTGAACTATCAAAATTACCAGCTGTCTAAAATTCTGTCAGGATTTTTCAAAGCAGTAAATATATGATTTTAGGTGCTGAGGTGAATGGAGATAAGACAACCGAGAAAGGAAACGGCTGCCAGGATGGTGGCGCATGCCTGTAATCCCAGCACTTGAGAGGCTGAGGCAGGAGGACCACTGCAAGTTCAAGACTGGCCTGGGTTACAAAGTGAGTTCAAGGCCAGCGTTAGCTGCATAGCAAGACCCTGTCCCCCCCCCACAAAAAAAAAGATGCTGCATAAAAATTAGGCTTTGTCACTTGGTGTGTAATTCTTGATACCAAATTCATAGATTTTCAGAGATAGAAAACTTGTAGCAGCGGCTTCAGTGGAAGTTTTTTCCTGATATAAAGTGAGGCCGGGGCCAGCCAGAAAGCTCAGCGGACTAAAGCACCTGCTTAGGTAGAGTGCAGCAGCAGGGGTTCAATCCCTGGCGTGCCATGCCGCCGCCCCCCACCCCAAGTGCTGAGAGGGCGATTGAGGCTGGGCGTGGTGGCATGTACCTGTAATCCCAGCGCTTGGGAGGCTGAAAACAGGAGGATCATTATGAGCCCGATCTACATAGTGAGACCCTGTAGATCCTATAGACCTTGTCCTAAATACATAAAAAAAAAAAAAAAGTGGGGCCAACACATACAAGCACGACAACTCAATTCCATTGAGTCCTCAGGGACCCAGCCTCCTTTTAGCTTCTCAGTTGGACCTAAGCGCTGAATGTAGTCTTTCAGAATGAGACAACTTTTTTTGAATCTTGAAGGAAAATACAAGTGGTCTTCAAGTTTCATACTAAAGTCCTTACTGCTATGAAGAACAAATATCAGTGGTGCAAATTCAAAACTGACTCTACTTTGGTGTTTTCACTTTTTCCTTTCCACTTGAAAAATGGGTCTTAGAGATCCTGGTCTGCTGGCACTGAGCTGGGGTCTCGGTTGGGCTACAGACTGACCCTGTGCGAAGGATTCTTCTCTCTTGCACACATCCCTCCCTCCTACTTTGCCCAGCTCCCAAAGTTGCAACTGGAGGGGTTACTCATGAAATGATTCTGCCTTTGACAAACTCTTTTATTTATTGACTTTGCCAAGGCTTGGTCACAAAGAGCAGTTATTTGCCCTCTTCCATGGCAGAAACTATAATAGGGGAGAAGACTGAGCAGTGGGTGAGAAGAGCTTTCTCAGCTTTCAGGATTGCATCAACCCAGCAGTTACGGCCATGTGTCACCTGTTTGGCTGTTTTTATAAAAAGGCATCGAGTCACAGAAGGGCCAGATTGGTATTGAGGATTGGTGATTATTGCCAGGTAGTTTTTTCCTAAACTGAGTGATGAGGACTGTAGTGGTGTCGCTTCTGCCACAGGGGGCAGGTTTCATGACTGCTTCCTGTGTAGGGCATACTGGCTGGTGAACTCAGAATACGTGTGTTGTGTTTGGAGTTCCAAATCCCATCATTGGCTGCAGAGTTGCTCCCTGGGAGAGGCTTCTGAATACCAATTCTGTTGGCTTCTCAGTCTGCATTGTGTAGTGCCATTGTTTAAATTGTCAGTTTTCTCTTTTTTTTTTTTAATTTTTTTTTATTTGTGTGTGTGTATGTGTGTGTGTGTGGCCAGCTCAGCCCACCAGGGGGCGGGGCTGGCTGGCATGTGGCGCTGGGGGATTGAACCGTGGTCCCTCTGATTTGCTTAGCTTGTTCTAAGTAGGTGCTTTAGACCACTGAGCCATCTCACCAGCCCCGTCAGTTTTTCTCTTGCCTCTACTCTTTTTTGGCCAGATGTTTCAGGTAATTGTGAGCAAAGTGCAGATCTTCTGTAGGTAGATCATTTTTTAAAGCTAATATAGCACATGCGAGTGAATCCACATAATTTTGGATTGTAAGGGCTTTTGAATCATTTGTGTTTGAAAGTTTTTATTACTTTGAGTCATGGATGTACATGCATTGTGAATTAGAACAGCTTGAGTACCCAAAATACTGTGTTTGGCTCATGAACAAATAATTTTTTTTTGAGAGAGAGAGATAATTTAGAGATATAAAAGGAATATGGAAAAGGATTATCCAGGAAAATGGGAAATCATAAGATTTTTAGTGGCCCTAATTCATACTCATCGATCATGACTTACATCTCTCTCTGCCTGTGTCAAACTATTTCTACCAAGGAAAAGGAATTGAATCTAAAACATCAGCAACTTGAGTAACTGACATTTTTTACTGGTGGTGAGGATGGATAAAATCTCAGTGTTCTGAAAGTGTAAGAGCTTCACTGAAGAGATCCCTGGTGCTTATAATAAACCAGAAGTTGGGTGTGACACATGCCTGTAATCCCAGAACTTGGGGAGGCTGAGACAGGACTGCACGTTTGACGCTTACTTGGGCAACACAGCAAAGCCCTGACTTACCCTTCCCCCACTTCACCTCCACTGGCTACTGGGTTCCAAAAAGAGAAATGGGCCATCGTAAGAAAAAAAAGGGAGATTACATGAATGTCCACTGACTAGACTGGGAAGAAACCTAGAAAGCGCGCAGGAAGCAAGACGGGTTTCCAGACAGTGATGTAGCTATTTCATTGCTTTCTCAAGCTACCCTTTGGAAAAAAAAAAAAAAAAAAGCCACTCTCACATGATAACTATGCAAATCTGGTCCAGTTTTCTAAAGTTTGGCCAGTTCTTTAAAAATCCTGCGAGGAGCCAGGGTGACTCATGATTTTCAGCACACACTGGACTGAACTCTTCATGCGAGACCTTATCAGGGGGCATCAGACAGCCTAAGGAAGTGGTACCCAAGATCGGTAGCATTTTACTCTTACTATTCAGGGTCCAGTCAGGACACAGAAAATTTCAACAGGAAAAATTTTTTGATATACTAAGTAGCAGCAGAGAATTTATTAGTAAGAATAAAGAGAACTTAAAGGGCTGGGGAGATGGCTCAGTAGGATAAGCGCTTGACTGGCAAACGCAAGGATGAGTTCAATCCCCGATTCTGCCAAAAAAAAAAA